TATATATATATTTCCATAAAATATATATATATTTCCATAAAATATATATATATTTCCATAAAATATATATATATTTCCATAAAATATATATATATATAATTCCATAAAATATATATATATATAATTCCATAAAATATATATATATAATTCCATAAAATATATATATATATATAATTCCATAAAATATATATATATATAATTTAAAAATTCTTGTCGTTCCTTTCACAAATTCTACAAATGGAACTATAGTCTATTGGAAGGTTATTGATGTAAATGTAAAAGATTCAAACTTTTGACCAATTACAGCATGTTTCTTCTTAAAAGATGTAAGCAGGGTTTCTTAATTCAACAGTGATCAAAAGATTCCCAGTGGGTAAACTTGTTTTTAAGAGTAAGATGCTGTACCCTGAGAATGAATTAACTGTTTACTATGTAACATTTATGAAGCAAATGCATCTTCACTGACAAGATTCCCAAGTACAGATGTGTCCAATTTTCCCATTTCAGAAGCACGTGACTGCACACTCTTCAAACAGGAAACAAGGCCACATTCACAGACAGCACAGCTTGCTCTTCATCTGTCCAAGATATTTAAGAATATCCTGGAATGGAAACACAATACTACCGCAAGGAAAAGGAACAGGGGCAAAACTGTGTTTGGAAAAACTTCCAAAAAAAACCCCACAAGTTATGCAAGTTGTTAGCATTCTACATAACACTCAAATTTGGAAGGAGAGGCATGGCTGTATGCTCAATGTAATATTATAGAGGTACCCAACCACCCAGGAAAAAGAGCTAATATTAGGAATCCTAAATAAAGAATTATTTTCCATATTCATGTGCATAAGAACAGAGACTTCACTGACTATATTGCTTCTTTTATGGTAAATGGCCTGTTATTTAGGTACTACAGAGTAGCTTTAAGTTTTAGAGGGGTAATATCTTAGTTTTCTTCATTTGAAACTTCTACTCCAAACATATGTATTGGAATATTTCCTTCAATAATTTAGTTTGGAAATTTAGTTCACACATACATAGAAATTATGAGAATGTGGGTGGATTCTTTGGTTTTATTAAGTAGGTGTGTTACTCAGCTGTTCATTGCTGTACCAAATACCTGAGGTTTTATACACACACACACACACACACACACACACACACACACACACACACATATATATCCATTATCATACACTTGTATTAATGGTGGACTTTAGAATGCATGGAGGATAATGCTAAAAAATTAAAATATAAAAACTGGAAAATATATATTTATGTATATATGTAAATTTTGCCAGCAGCAAAAAAATAAGGTAAGGAAACGATAGCAATTGTGCAAAATGGAAGTATTCACTTTCAAATTACTCCTAAATACAAATGCTGTATACTGTCATTTTTAGAAGCATATGACTTCCAAAACCAGGACCAAAAGACACAATAAGAATATATTGCCCCAGAAATGATGAAGCAATTCATTTCATCTCTGGCATCAATAAAGACAAACTGAGAAAGTATGTATTGAGCAGTCTCTGCAGCATATTGCACTTGTTACTGAGGAAGAAACAAAGCAGGAAATGTATTTTAAAATATGTATGAAAAAATACACTATCTGACCATTGTGGTGTTCACCTGTGATCCCAGATACTCAGGAGGCTGAGGCAGGAAGATCAAGTTCAAGGCCAACGTCAGGTATTTAGACCTTTGTCTCAAAATAAAAAATAAAAGGGGCTGGGATGTAGCTCAGTGACCAAATGTGCCCAGGTTTAATCCTGGGTACAACAACAACAAAAACAAATTTTTTAAAAAAGTCTACTATAATTGAGTCATTACAACGGAATAAGGACAGTTAATACAAAATAACTTCTCCTAAAAAAATTGACCCATTAATATGTTAAAATACCAGACATGAAAATAAAGAGATGAAGTGGCACATGAATATCATATTTCCAGAATATTCATTGTCATTCTACAATTTTTTACATTGCTCTAAATATTAAGTTTAGTCCTGCACACATTCTAGAATGATCCAAACTTCCAGCCCACTAAAATGTATTTATAATTACACTCCTTGGATTCTATATCTATGATGTAGATATTAACCATACAATCAATATGAATAAACATCTAATACCAAGTACTTCTTGTATTAGAGAACATCTTTTATTTAGTAAATTTGTCTCATACATACAAACCTGTGACTCTTAAACTAACTAAAATCAATTTTGTCCTAATGATTTTCCTTCACGCTGTTTGCTTCTTGCCAGATTCATTATCTGAATTAATAGCTCCTAAAGTTAAGGTCAAGACTAATTTTCTTTTCAATAGCTATAAATTCTTACTTATTTTACTCTGGAAAATAATTTAATGTTAATATCTTTATACCTGATTAGCCTTTAATAAATGTCAGAGGGGAGCCCAGGAAAAATGTAAATAAATAAATCAGAGACTTTGACCCCATTTTACCAAGATGAGGAACAAAGAAGTGGCCTTCACTCAATGCAGTTGCTAGAAAGAAGGCCCTCTTCTAGCCTGCTTTCCTTCCTTCTTTCATCCCTTCCCATTTCATCTGTATCTTTCGTTTGCTTTAGGTTTTTCTATTACTATAGCACAGTAATATTTGAATTCCGGTCTTCTGAAAGGCAGGCAG